CACCTCTGAAGCATCTCTTGTCCACATCACCTCTGTAGCATCTCCAATATGCCCCCTTCTCTCCTCGGACCCTGCCCCGACCCTGGGGCAGACTCTCATCCCTTCACACCTGGACTGTTGCCAAAGCTGCTGAAAGGTGGGTGGGGAGGGGGCATGGGGGGTTGTCCTGCCTGCCTCAAGTCTCTCCCCCCTCCAGTCCATCGTCCATCAGCATTACTGATCCTCCTAAAGTGCAGGTCCAACCATGTCACTTCCTTACTCGATAAGCTCCAATGGCTCCCTATTGCCTTCAGGATCAAATACAAAACCCTCTCTTTGGCCTTCAGAGCCCTTCATGCCCTGCTGCCTCCTCCCTTTCTAGTCTCCCTTCACCTCACTCCCCACCATGTCCTCTTCAGTCCCATGTCCCCAGCCTCCTGGCTGTGTCCACCTCTCAGCTCCAGGGATTGTCTCTGGCATCCCCCAGGCCTAGAATGCTCTCCCTCCTCCACTTTTTTGCCTTTCCTTGTATGCCCAGCACTTAGCACCATGAGTGGCACGTGGAGGCTTAATTAGTAACAGCTTAGTGACTAAGTGGCCTTGTTTCTTCATCTGGAGACTGAGGATAATAATAACAGCAGCTTACATTTACATATCACTTTGATGTTTGCAAAGCTCTTTACAAACATTATTTAATCTTTCATTACCTCCATTTTACAAATGAGGAAACTAAGCAGGCAACAGTCAAGTGACTTGCCCAAGATCACACAGCCACTAAGTGCCTATGGCTAGATTTGAACTCAGGTCTTCCTGACTCAAGTCCATCACTCTGTGCACTGTGGCACCTCCTAGCTGACATAACAACCTACTCTGATGAGGAGAGCTGTTCCACAGTGGAATGGGTGGCCCAGGGAGCCAGTGAGCATCGCACCCCACCCCACCGGTGCTAAGGCCAGGCGAGAACTGGGCAGGTGCCCCTGCGTGTGTGGAGGGGATGTTAAACATTCACCAAATGAGGGTGACGGGTGTGGTATGGTGCAGACCCTCAGAAACTGCTGGGGGGGCTGTTGTGGGCATTTCTTTTCAGGCACGGCTCCCAAAATCACAGCTCTGGAGGCGGCTGATTCCACCTCTCCCATTCCATGGGTGAGCAAACTGAAGCTCAAAGAAGGGAGTGTGCTGTGATCCCAGCGACCAGGACGACAGCCTCGGTCCATCATCCTTCCCACTCTGTGGCAGAGCCATGAAGACCAGGAGCGCAGCCGCTGGCCTCAGGCTCCATGGCCGCGAGGTCTCACACTTACCCACCCGTGCATGCACGCACACACACACACACACACACACCTCTTGACTTTCTTCCTGGGCCGGCTGGCCGTCACTAGCTCCGAAAGCTCAGGCAAGGCCTCCATGAGGGGGTGCAGGTCTCCCACGACGGCCGTGGCCTTCCGTCTTGCCTCTGCCTTGCGTGTCTGTTCTGCTGCCTTTATTGCATCTATTTCTGAATTAAGGAAGAGCAGAAAGGGGGTGTGGATGAATCAGGGCCCTATGGGGTGCCCGCCCCCTCCCCATCAGATGGAGACCAAGTCAGTGGAAGGCCCGACACCTCTCCCGACTGGCCCTACTGATGCCAAGAGGACCCCTGAGAAGCTCCAGGGCCCTCCTTTCTCTACTTGCTGCCACGTATCCTGAGCCCTAGGACCTTGAGAGGAAGAGGGAGGAGGGGAGACAGAAGAGGGAAGAGGAGAGAGCAGGGAGGAGAGAAGGGGGAGGAGGGAGGAGAGAAGAGAACAGGGAGGAGGAAGAAGGGGAGAGGAGAGAAGAGAGAGCAAGGAGGGAGGAGGGGAGACAGAAGAGGGAAGGGAGGGAGGAGGCACGCTCGGTAGGTTATTTTCTCCCCTTAATCACAGATGTGCACTTTTTAATTATAGGCTTGATCATGAGACTGGAGAGCCTGGCAAGGAAAGCTTTTTTCCCCCACTTTTCTCTTGAAAGGGCCCCCAGTGCCCAAGGATTCTAAAGCAGGGCTTGGGATGTGAACAGGTGAGTCACGTGAGGGAAGAAGGCTAAGCACGCGCTCTGCCGCATCCTCCCGTGTCCAGGAAAAGGCCCCGTTCTGGGGCACCACTGAACGTGGCCCTGGCGACAGATGGCCAGGACAGACGCCAGACCTCTGGACTGCCTGGGCAGCAGCCAGGACCTTGGCCACCCGAGATGGAGGGGAGAAGGGCAGGAGGCAGACACCAGCCACCCACACCCATGAGTGACCTGCGGCACAGAGGTGCCACTGAAGGAGGCGTCCCAGCGGCCCCAGGAGAGCATCGGGAGATGCTGAGGCCATGGCCCCCACTGGGCCAGAGCAGGTCCTCACAAGCCCCCAACTTCCAGCCCTTCTCATTCATCCCTCTCAGCTCTCCTCTCCCTGCACACCGCAATAGCGCCCTTGCTATCATCCAGCCTCTTTCATGAAGCCCAAGGCCTCCCTAGCCCTCCTCTCTTCCAGCCTCAGTCCTGTACAAGCCTCACTCACTATCCCGCCTGAGACTAAGCCTCCATCCACCACTGCCGCTCATGCTACTGCCTCATCCACTGCGTAAGAGGCCAAACCTTCAAAGCAGGAACTTGTGACCCTGGCATTCATGGCCCTCTGAGTCAGAAAGAGCATGGACTTAAGAGCTGAGAAACCCGACCTCTGGTCTTAGCTCTGCCATGACTTAGCTGGGTGACCTTGGGCATCCCCATCAAGGCCCAGGGGACAGGCTGATCTCTAAGCTCTGACCTTCTCTCAGAGACCTTTTCGGCCCTTGCCCCTTCACACCCCTCTGGGCTCCCGCCAAGCTCAACTGTTCTCCAACACGCCTACTACTTTCCTGCCTCCGCTCATATAGTAGCCTCTGCCTGGGATGCCTTCGCCACCAGTCCCCTCCCCCAAACCTCCCCTGACGCCACCATGCACCAAAGTCCCCAAGACCTGGAAGGGACCTCAGCACTTGTCCGATCCAACTCGATCCTTTTACCGGAGGCCAGGGAGGGCCAGGGGCCTGTCTGCCCGAGTCACCAGGGCCACACCTGAGGGTATACATAGTAGACAGCCAGGCTGAGAACAGAGCACCAGGCCTGGAGGCAGGAAGACCTGAGTTCAAATCCAGCCCCAGACACTTACTCACTGGGTGACCCTGCGCAGGTCCCTTCAGCTCCGCTTCCTCATCTGTGGAATGGCGATAATAACAGCACTATCTTTGGGTTTGTAAGAGTCTAATGAGACCATGCTTGCAGGGCACTTGGTACAGTGCCCAGCGCACAGTAGGCTCCAAATGTTAGCCCTAACTCTAATCCTAATCACCCTCTGAGTGATCCAGGCTCACCATCTAGGGACCCGCCCCGGCCAGGCTGGTGCTGGGGTGGGGGGGGGGAGGACACGGGACATCTCTCCCATTGGCCCCCTCCACATGCAGACCCTCTTCACCTCATGCCTGGATCACTGCTGCTGGAGGTGGGGGGTGCCCCCAGACTCCAGCCCATCCTCCTAGCTGCCAAAGGATCTTCCCAAAGGGGGCCACCCCAATGCTCAGTAACTCCAGGGGCTCCGAAGCAAACCCAAAATGCTCAGTGTGGCTCCCAAGGCACCTCTCCTGCCCCGTTTCTGGTCTTCTTCTACCTCAGTCCCTTCTATGTCTCCCCCGATGCAGGGACCCGACCCTCCTGGCTGCTCCTCCCCCACGGCCTCTGGGCATTTTCTCTGCAGTTCCCCCGGGCCTGGAATGCTCTCCCTCCCTCAACTCCACCTCCACGCCACCTTTCACCAGAAGCCTTTCCAGCACTGAACGCCAGAGCCTCGGTTTTGTTGGTCCCTGGCTTGTCTGTGCGGCTGTTTCACTGTCCACCTCCCCGGGCCCCCCAATTAGAGTGGGAGCTTCCTGAAGGCAGGGCCTGTCTTTATCTTCTTTGTATCCCAGGGCTTAGCACAGCACAGTGCTGGGCCCCCAGTCAACGCTTAATAAACACTCACATATGACGGCCACCCGCTCCTCAGCTGCCCACAGCCAGACCCGCTTGTCCAGGTGAGTTGTGAGGAGGGCAGCGCCCCAGCGGATGGCCGAGATCCCACCACCGCTCACTCACTCAGCCTAAAGTGATGCCCCGAGACTCCTTCCTACAAACCTGGGTGCTCAGTCCCGCCCTGTACTGCAGGTGCATTTCTGTGTCCAGTGGTACGTGAATCCTAGTGCCTTTCACCTGGCGCTTTTCTGCCTGATGCTCCTTTGGGTCCCAACTGTGCTGTCCTGTCCTTTGGGGCAGCTCTCCCAGCATCTGAGCCTTTCTCCAGGTCACCGGTGAACAGAGACCCGAGGCACTGCCCTAGAGACCTCCCACCCCGCCGACACCGCACAGTCAACACCTCCCCAGAATCTGGCCTCGCGTCAGCTCGGAAGCAGATTGTGTTACCGTCAATCCAACTGGCTCAATCTTCTCCACGAGAAGAGCAGAGAGACTTTGTTTAAAACTTGGCTCCAGTCTGGGTAAAGCCATACCTTCGGCGACTCGTGCACCTGATCCTAACCCTCCCCCTGCACCTGCTGAATTCCCAGCCCTGTTGTCCCCTTTTAATCCCCACTGACACCTCCACCAGGAAGCCAACCTGGACTCCTCTCCCCTGTCCCAGAACAGCAAAGCCTGGCCCCAAGCTCACCCTTACTGCATACAAATGTCATGTCTGCTAGTAGACTGTAAGACCTTCGAGGGCAGGAATTATTGTTGATTTATCTTTGCCCTCTCCTCCCCATAAGACACAGCCCTGTCCTAAGCCTTCAGGGAGCCCCCAAATGATTGGCAATCCCTGACTCCCTCCCACCTCTTCTGCTCGGGTGGCCCAAGGGCAGGTACAGGGTCCACAGGCCATCCCCCGGCTCTGGCAGCCCAGCAAAGGAACTTGGATGTCTTTGCCTGGGCCCTAACTCAAACACCTGATGTTTGAGAACAGATTTTTGCCAGGTCTGTCAACCCAAGGAAGGCCTGTCCTCCCTCCCAAAGGTCCTGCCTTCCCACTGGTCCCATCTCTGCCCACTGTTGTTTTCAATAACGCAGTGGTGGGAAGAAATAGCAGCAGCCACGAATCCTGCAGGAAGCCGGCAGAGGGGCTGCCAACATGTAGGGGGACGCCCATAAATCCTGCACGCCGAGGATCGTGGAGATAATCTTGAGACATGTTTTGACTTGGAATGGATCATAGAGCCCAGGCCCTGGGACATTGGGGCTGGTTAAAGTTCTCAGGCTAGCGCACTGGGCCAAAAACGGAGGGGAGGACGGGGAAGGCTCCCAGGGAAAAATGGGGGTAGTCTCTCTGCTCCCCTCCCTTTTTCTCTCTCACCTCCTTCCTTCCTCCATCCTCCCCCATCCTTTCTCTGTCTCACTCTCTGCTCTCTTCCCTCTGTCTCCTCCCCTCTTCCCTGTCTCTCTCACCTCCTTCCTTCCTCCCTTCCACCATCCTTTCTCTGTCTCTGTCTCCTCCCTCTGTCTCACCTCCTTCCTTCCCCCATCCTTTCTCTGTCTCTCTCTGCTCTCTTCC